CGAACTCACGACCTTGCACTTGCCAGGCAGGTGCTTTTGCCGCTGAGCTAAATCCCCAGCCCCATATTATTTTCTTAGAACTCATGTTTAAATGAGGTAATCCCAGCACTCAGGAGGCTGAGGCAGGAGGATCGTTGCAAGTTTGAGACCAGCCTGGACTACAAAGTGACACCAGCCTGAACTGCATAGCGAGATGCTGTCTCAAAAGCACACACTCAAAAAAGAAAACTTATCAATTATTCAACACTATTAATTTGCCAATTTTACCTGTCTTTTGGCAACAGACTAGATTTTTTTTTTTTTTTTTTTTTTTGGTCTTTTTGAGACAGGGTCTTTCTATGCAGTTCAGGCTGGCCTTGAGCTCACTATGTAGTCCAAGCTGGCCTTGAACTCACAATGATCGTCCTGCCTCAGCCTCCCAAGTGCTGGGATTACAGGCCAGAGTAGAATTTTAATTAAGAACTGTCCCTTCATCCAAGTTGAAGCCCTGGGAGAGGCAACTTCGCTAATGAGCCTAAGGAACAACTGGCCATAGCCCATTCGCACCCTGCATTGTCCAGGCCACGGGTTTCTGAGATGCCCCCAAGCCACAGCAGCACAAGGCCGTTCCTGGCGTCCTTCCGGACTCCACAGGGAAAGGTCCAGCTTGGAGCCAGTCAAGTCCATCAGCCCTGGGCCTGTCACACAGCAGAAGCAACGTGTTCCATCTTCCACATCCCTGGACCATCATATGACACTAGGAAACATTACCTTTGGAGAGACTGAAAATCATTCCCTCACACTGTTACAATGTGGGGAAGTCCAGAAGCAGCTAAAAAGAAGTTAAAAGTTTAGCCTTCTCAACTCTTTTTAATCCCAGGGGTATTCAGTGGAGTTTTAGTGCTAAGCAATGAAATTGTAAATTCCTAACTGAGAGCTAAACAGAACACATACATACATACATATATGACTATGCTAAGGAGAAAATGTTTCTTCTTAGGCTACAGTGAAGCAAATATGATGATGTACAGCAATTTTGAAAATTTTAATTGCAAATATTTATGGCAATTTCCATGTGTTTTTCTGAAAACTGTAAGTCATTTGTGAGTTTACATCAAACAGATTCTATTCCCTATACATTAGATAAAGCCTGGAACTCGGGTTCTTTAATCAAAGAAAGTTCATTAGACTTTCTTCTCACTTAGAAAACAATAAAAATCAGTATTTATTTATCTGTTCTTACTAATATAAATATTTCTGAGGAAGGTAAGAGAGTGCTTAATTTTAAATGCTATTATTTCCGGTGCAAAAGACTCCTTATTTATAATTTTTTGGGGGGTTAGAAAAAAATATTGGTCACCATATTGAAATAAAATATATCAAAATTATATTACAGAAGCCAGAGATCACTTTCAGTCTTGTTGGGCGTGGCGGCACATGCCGGTAATCCTAGCACTCAAGTCATCTGAACTTCAACAAAGGGGCCAAAAACACACACAAGAGGGAAGACAGCCTCTTTAATACATGGAGCTAAGAAACCTGGACTGCATCTCTTATGCACTAAACTAAAATCACAATGAGTCAAAACCTAAATACAAATAATCTGATGGAAGACACAATAAGTGAAAGTCCTGAAGATATAGGCCAGGACTTTCTGAACGGAACCCTATTGCACAAGAAATAATTTCAGGAACCAACAAATGAGATCACGTCAAATTAAAGCATCTGGACAGTAAAGCAAACCACCAAGAGTGCAGAGTACCAACAGAATGGGAAAAAGCTTTTCTTCCTGCTCCTCTGCCAGAGCCCTAGTATCCAGAATATATAAAGAACTCAAAAAAGTTAACTCCCCCAAATAAAAGACCATTAGACAGGCACGGTGGTGAATGCCTGAAACCCCGGCACTTGGGAGACCGAGGCGCAAGGGCTCACAAAAGCACAAGGCCAGCCCGGGCTTCTTAAGTGAGTTTAAGGTCACTTGGACTACGTAAGGAGACCCTGTCTCAAAAAACAAAAGCAAACACCACCACCCCCAAAACAAACAAACAAAAATAAATCTAAACATAGGCAACTGAAATGAACACACTTTTCAGAGGTATAAATGACCAACAAATACATGAAAACATGTTCAACATCTTTGGCCATTAGACAAACGCAAAGTAAAACAACACTGAACATCTTACTCTAGAAAGAATGGCTGTCATGAACAAATCAAGTAACAAGTGCTCATGAGGATGAGGGGAAAAAGGAACACTACTATGTTGTTGATGCGAATGTAAACTAGTACAAGCACTATGGAGGTCAGTATGGAGATTTCTGAAAAAAGTAAAACTAGAAATTCCATTTGACCCAACCGTTCCCTTCCTAGGTATCTTCCCCCAAAAGGTAAAGAGATCATATTATAGTGATACATGCACACATATTTATAGCAGCACAATGTGTCCATAATTGGATGAATGAATAAAGACAAAATAGAGTACTACTTTGCTATAAAGGACAAACTTAGCCGGGTGTGGTGGTGTGTACACCTGCAATCCCAGCAATTAGGAGGCTGAGGCAGGAGGACTGCCTCAAGTTCGAGGGCAACATAAACTACACAGTGAGATCCTCTCTCAAATGAAAAAAGACAAACTCGAGTCATTTGTAGAAAATGGATACACCTTGAGACCATAATGTTAGGTGAAATAAATCAGACACACAAGCCTAAATACCACATGGTTTCTCTAATGAGAAACCCAAAGTATAAACACATTGCAGAGGAAACAGGCAGATGGGAACCTGTGCAAATGGAAAGGGAACCCAGAGACTGAGGGAGGAGGGAGGTAAAAGAATGAAGATGTGCTCTGCCGTGTGTCTGTGCCCTGTGAGAACATGATCATTACGTGCTGCAAACACGTACTCATAAAAAAATGGAAATCGAAAAACAAAAAACACAACTAAGTGTTGGTCAAAAAGGATCCCAACAGGGGCTGGGAATTTAGCTCAGCGGCAAAGTGCTTGCCTGGCAAGCGCAAGGTCGTGAGTTCGATTCTGGGTTCCGGAAGATAAACAAACAAACACACAAAAAAACTGAACACAGAAAAAGGATCCCAACAAGCTACAGCAATGTGCAGTCCCCACTGTGCTCCTGGCCAGAGACCGCCCAGCCCCCCTGCAAAGCGCCCCTCTGTGATGTTTCTTGGTAAGACCAACACCTTCTATAACCTCACC